ATCCGTTCTGGTCGGTCGGCGCACTAGCCTGCCAATGAAAAAACAGCGGCGCCACACGCGTTCATTCCTGACTCTCCCGGCTACTTCCTTGCACCGCGCGCTCGCGCGCATGCGAGCCCACGCGCATGCCCCAGCGCTTGCCGGACACTTCGATGACGAAAATCTGCCAACACTATTATTCCTGAACTGCCGCGCTGCACCATGCACCATCCACCACGCACAATTCGAGCCGCCCGAGAGGAAGGACGAGTTGTTTCGAGGGAGATGGGGCACGAGACAACCCACATACACATACTGACAACCGTTAAAGGCCAGGAGTCTGCCGGCGCTCATGGCCCGACAGCACGAGCCACCGGCCACGTCGCGGAGCGCGAATCTGTCGATACTGCCCTTGGCCAGCCCATCCGCAATCATCCCAGATCAGGACCCAGTTGGCCCGTGCCCAGGAGGTCGCGAAGCCAAAGTTCACGCGGCAACAGTGAGCGTCACGCCGGCGGCTTGGATCCAGTAGCCGCGACGGCGGCGACCTCTCCCATGGAGTCCAGGCAGGGCCCGCTTTGCAGAACGAGCGGCTGCTGGCCATCTCGGCGGCAGCGCGCTGCCCCGTGGCCTCGGGGGCCCCCGATCACCTCGTGGAGCGCGGTGGCCAGAGCGAGGCTGCGACCTGTTGAACCGATCGCGGCCCTCAGCCCATTTGCGGCGATGTTTCGCGCTACCGTCTCGAGCGCCCCACACTGCCAGTCTAGTAGACAGCACTTTACCGAACAACGAATGTAAATGAGCGCACGCGTTGCTAACGCCCATACGCAAGCCCCTCGCAGAGCCCGCCCCGCGCCGACGCCCTTGTCATCTTTTCTGAACGCCGCGTCGCTGCGCATATCTAATTTACTGGCGCAAACAAGAGGTGGATGGAGGATTCGCAGCGGCTTGGCCTGCGCGCATCTCACGCGCTCGCTGAGACCTCGCACGCGGCCGCACGTCGGCGCCGCTGCATGGCGCTGAAGTGCGACCACGTAGACCCGGAGATCTATCCGCGCGGCGAGTCCAAAGGCCAGTGCCACGAGCAGGCTGGGGCACAGTTGGGCCAGGCTCTCTGAGGCGAGCTCGGAGTTGGACCCTCCGACAAACTCAACGATTGGTTCCAGCGCCTGGATGCACTCGACCAGGCCCAACTCGCACCCGCCGTCGCGCGCGGGAGAGAAACGCGCACCACGGAGCGCGTTGGTTCCCTCGCTGATGTCCACCAGCTCACGTCTGCCAAAGGCACGCTCGAGACACCGACGCAACTCCGCCTTTTCCGGCGGAGGCACTGCTACTTTGATGTCGCCAGCGCGTCTGGCGGCCCGTAGAACGAGATCGCCCTCCTAATGCTTGGCGAAAAACTCGCTGTCGCATAGTGCGGGAATGGCTTGGCACGCTTGCTTGGTCATGTTGGTGAGTTGGATGGACCGGCACCTCGGGGCGCCCTTGCACCCGGCGCCTAGTTTCTCCACGCGGAGAACTCCGAGTGCGAGGTCGAATTCCCCGCGCCCCTTTAGTTCGCGCAGGACTGCGACGGCGTCGGGAGAGAGCTCGAAGATGGCATCGCGCTCATCCTCGCCTGTAGTCTCCTGGCGGCAGACGCCTGTAAGGAAGGGCCCGCTTGACGCCCCACGCATCAATCGTCCACCCTCGACAGGCAGCCTCGGGAACAATCACACGCTGGGATAGTCGCGATGAAGTGCCAGCATAACTGGCGACGAGACTGGCCTCGGCGCCCTTAGAGCCTCGAAGGGTCAGCCCCATGCGGGTGGTCCGTACTTTCTGAACGGGGTCTGATTTGCTTCGCGTCGCCTTCCACTTGCCTGCCAGGCTGCACTCAAGGATGTCGCGCGCTCGTCGGCGCGGGGGACGCGACAAGCAATTGCGCCCCACCCACACTTGCGATTCCTTCCTCGAGCACAGCGGCAGCAACAGCTGCGGCGTGCTCTGGAAACTGTTCTGGGGCGAGCAAGTCGGCGTCGCGGCTCGACCGCTGCCTTCGGAGTTCCTGCCGCGAAGACCCGGAGGCGTGCACGGTGCCCCTCTGGAACTGGATGATCTAGTAAGCTTGCGCAACTCGCCCGGGCCAACACGTCCACGCAGGCGCTTCCGTTCTCGTCGACGTCGATGGCCTCGGCGGCGGCGAGAGGTGCTGCGCCCACTGCGAAGCAGCGGTGGCGAAAGCAAACCTCTGCGGAGAGGACTTGCGGCAGCGGGCATGATGGAGCCAGTTGGGACTCAGTCTTTAAGATATATCCAAGATATCCTCGAACGTGACCGACTTCGAAAGCAACATCCCTCACGACTGCCCGTTAGCCATGTGTCAGGGAGGCCCACCACGCAGCATCGCTCAGGCGTCGGTCGCTCCAGGAGTCTTCGTTAGACTCCTGCGCAGTGGTGGACAGCCTCCCGTCGTCATGCATGGAATCGTCGGGACTCGCGCTGGCTTCCGAAGGGTCCGCGCTACCACCCCTGGCGCCTGTCACTTGGAGCACGAGAGCTCTGAAACAGCGCCCGGCTGTCTGTCCAAGTGTGAACAGGAGATGGCACATCTCGCTGCGGCTAACACCAAGAAGCTTAACAAGGCCTAGCCTACCAGCCCCCAAACTCCACCAAGCCGCAACTTAGCGATGGCCCAGTCGCCACCGTACCAAAGAGTGATCCGTCTCGACCTTCTTCGGTCACGAAGCCCTCGAGGCCGCGGTCGACATAAATGGCCGCGACACTGGTGAGGTTGAAGACGAGCCTGGCTATCAGCACTCGAGGCGCAGTGCCACAGAGCACTTGGCAGCGGCGATCGCGGGGATCGCGACGGAATCGGCAAGGCCGAGCTGCTGAATGGTTTTCGCCGGAATGTTCATGAAAGACTGCCCTACCAGCATCCATGCCTGACCGCGGGGCATAGCGGGTTGATTTGTAACTCCGCATATCAGCCCGCCACAGTCCATGAATCGTCGTGCATCCCCGAGGCGGCATATCTGTTCAGCGCCTCGGTATTTGATAATCACGGCGCCTTGTTGGGCAATAATATTGACGACTGCCGCTGGGCCACTCCGTCCGCTCACATCCTTGGTCAATGCGGCTCGGGAGAAGTCGACCAGCTCGCCTGGTTTGTAGTCCAGGGTCTGTCCTTCAACTGTGGCGGTGGTCTTCGAACTCCGGCTGGTACGTGAGATGGTGGACGCCTCCACGATCCGTTGCAAGGCGATCTGCCTTAACTGGCGCGAGTTGCGAACTACTCCGGCTGCGTCATCCGGGAGAGCCAACATGTCAGGAAGCATCCGCGGTTGTCCAAACTGCGCGTTCCATGGTGCGGCGGCCCCATAGGATATGAAAGTTGCCTGCGAACACGGCCTCGAAGAGTAGGTCGGGCATGCTGACTGACTCCTAGTCCTGCACGCTGGAAGCGTTCACCAATACAACGCACGGCGCGTCGCAAAATAGCACCGCGTCGTTCGATCATTCGGGCTGGCTGATCAGAGGCTCGAACTCGGACCAATATGCTGCGAATATCAAAAAATGACCACATTCGCCATCCACTACCAAGGTCCACAACGGCCCCAAGATCGAAATCCAACATAAGAGAACTGCAGAACACAGGCGCTCGGAAGATCGCTGTCCAACGTTACTGGAGTCGCCCTCGAGCAGCCCTGCTGCGCGCCATCGGTCGGCTCGATCGATCATGTGCCAGATCGAATATTGGCGATCGAAGAAGATGTCCCCCGTCGATTTCCTGAACGGGACCGTGACCAACTCGACAGAGGGTGTGACTTGCGACACAGGCGCGACACTCGCGGCATGCGTCTACCAAGCCAACGATCACCTGGATGGCAATGCTCGGGCACAAAGTTGCTATTTATATATGTTCCGTAAAGTTCGTGTAGCATGCCACCCGCGTATGTAGCTTGCGGATCTCGCGTCGTATCTGTGGTGCATCGCCGATTCGTAGCATACGCAAACTCTGAGTGACGTCGAAACTTGTCCGATCGTCTGGTGCATGACCCGTCGCAGCGTCCAAGATCCGAGGCTGTGGTCGAGAAGCTCGGGCAGCTCGGGGCGCTGAGGGGTCGAACGGTGGCGGCGGTTCGCCGTCGTCAAAGAGGTCGTCACGCGTTGGCACTTGTGGTGCAGGGTCGTCGATGGGGCCTCGATCAAAAGGCGGCCCATCGGTATCCAGACTCCTCCTCCTCCTCCTCCTCCTCCTCCTCCTCCTCCTCCTCCTCCTCCTCCTCCTCCTCCTCCCCCCCCCCTCCTCCTCCTCCTCACCTGTGACCCAGGGATCCCCGCCGCGGGATCTGGAGACGGCTGCGCTCGAGCCTCCGGGGGGAAGGCCCTGCAAAACCTGCGTGCCCGCCGCATGTGACGTGGCGGACCGCGCCCGCCCCGGCGAGCCGACGGTGGCGCGCCGAGCCCACGACGACGACGAACACCACGACAACGACGACGACGACGACGACGACGACGACGACGACGACGACGACGACAACGACGACCACGACGAAAACGACAACGACGGCGGAAGCAACGGCGGTGACGACGACGACGACCACCACCATCAAAACCAAATCTACCACCACGACGACAACGACGACTGGACGACGACGATGACGATGACGGCGACAACGACGACGAAGACGACGACGACGACGACGACGAGGACAACGACGAAGACCACGACGACCACGACAATCAACACCATCACCACCACACCCACTACAACGACGACGACGCCGACGACGCCCACGCCGACGCCGACGCCGACGCCGACGCCGACGCCGACGCCGACGCCCACGCCCACGCCGACGCCGACGCCGACGCCGACGCCGACGCCGACGCCGACGCCGACGCCGACGACGACGACGACGACGACGACGACGACGACGACGACGACGACGGCGGCGACGACGACGACGACGGCGGCGACGGCGGCGGCGGCGGCGGCGGCGGCGGCGGCGGCTCGGCGGCCGTCGCGCGGTGGCCTCCCAGGCACCATGGTCTGGATGTGGCCAGACACCGCATTCTCGGAGACACCAGACCTCGGCGGCCGTCCACGGCGGCAGTGCGGCAGCGGCGCGGCGGCGAGGGCCAGTGGAAGCGGGCGCCGCCAGCGGCGGCGGCGGCCACGGACCTCGTCGACGACGGCGGAAGCGGCAGCGACGGCGACTGCAACTGCAGCGGAAACGGCGACGCCAGACCACGACGAAGACGACTACGACAACGACGATGACGACGACGATGAACACAACGGCGACGACGACGACCACAGCGACGATGACCACGACGACGACCGCCACCACCACCACGACAATCTCGCCCCAACGCCTCAGCCCGAGAGCGTGCCTCCGCAACCGGAGGCGCGCTTTCCTCGGCGCGCCATTCGGCCGCGCGCTTGGCGCCGTGTCGCCGCCGCGGCCGTGCGTCCGTCGTCGAATCTGTGTTGCTGAGCTCGCACACGCCAGGCCTCCCAAGTGGGGGCCGAGCGGACGGGGTTGGACTTCGCCGCATCGCCGATGCATTGGCGGTGCATCTGGGACTGGGTAGTCGAAGCCAATCTGGCAGGCCCAATCTGGCAAACGGGGGCAATCTGGCGAGGGGGCCAACGCGAATCCAGTCTGGCGAATAACCCAAATCATCCAGTTTGGCCGGGCCAGATTGGCCCTTGGGGCCCAGTCCAATCTGACAGTCTGGCCTTCGACTACCCAATTGGCGGTGCATCTGGGAGGTCTCCCCACAGGACCACGTCAGGCTCAGGAGAGGCCCCGGTGCCCGGGCCGCTCCGCGGCTCCAGCTCGGGGGGACCTGCTCGTGGCCGAGGCTCGGGGTGGCCAGAAGAGCGCCTCCGTTCCCTGTTCGTCATTTCTTCTGGCAGCACGACAGCAGTGGCCGCGGACGTCGTCGTCGTCGTCGTAGTCGTCGTGTGGTCGTCGTGGTCTTCGTGGTCGTCGTCGCCGTCGCCGTCGTCATCGTCCTGGCGGTGGTGGACGTGGTCGTGGTCGTGGTCGTGGTCGTCGTCGTCGTCGCCGTCGCCGCCGCCGCCGCCGTCGTCGTCGTCGTCGTCGTCATCGTCGTCGTCCAGTTGCCGTCGCCGTCGTCGTCATCGTCGCCATCGTGACCGTCGTCATCGTCGTCGTCGTCCAGTTGCCGTCGTCGTCGTCGTCGTCGCCGTCATCGTCGTCGTCGTCCCGATCTGCCAGGAGACGGTCGATGTCGCTGGCGAAGCAGGGAAGGACCAGGGCGAGGGAGCACGAGGGAGGGGGCTGGCGATGGGGGAAGACGAGGGAGGGAACTAGGAGAATGACAACGAGGAAGGCAGGGAGGGAGGAAGGGAAGGCAGGGAGGGCAGGCAGGGGAAGGGAGCAGGGAGGGAGGGAGGGGAGGGAGCCAGAAGCAGCAGGGAGGGAGGGAGGGAGGGAGGAGGAAGAAGAGGGGGAAGAGGGGAAGGAGGAGGAACGGGTGGAGGAGGAGGAGGAACGGGTGGAACGACGGAGGAGGAGGAGGAGGAGGAGGAACGGGTGGAGGGGGAAGAGAGGAAGGAGGAGGAACGGGTGGAGGAGGAGGAGGAGGAAGGGGTGGTGGAGGAGGAAGATGGGATGGAGGGCCGGGCGGCAGATCTTAGCGCCGGACTCCATCCAGGTCTGGTTCAGCTCGTTGCACACCTGACATCGGTGGGCGAGGATGAGGAGGACGAGGTGCCGAGCGCTCCCCTTTATGGCACGCCCCCGATCCCACAGCCAAAACGCCCACGGGTCGGGCGCTCGCGAGACCCGCCAGCTCCCGGCCGACCCTCGAGAGTTGCTGCCGCGCGCTGCTCTGCTCGACAGGGGAGGGAGCCCACGAGACGGGCGCCGGCTCACGCAGGGGAACCGGCCCCAAGGCGCGAGCGGGCATCCCCGGCCTGGCCCTGTCCCAGGCGCCTGCCAGGGCCCGGCTCACCCCGTCGGGAGACGTCCAACGACCGCCTCCCCGACCCTGGCAGGGCCCATCCTGGGCCCAGGATCGCTGCCAACGCCTCCCTCGCACCACCGCCTGCAGCGACCGATGCCTCGCTCAGTGGCGCGTGGCCTTGCGCTCCGCTTCCAGTCCGGCGCAGGCCAGAAGGACATCCCTCAAGAACACGAAGACCCTCCGTCGGCCAAAACAAACAGGACATCCAAGGGTAGCCCCCCCAGGGTGCACAAGGAAATCAAAAAGAGAACGCGAGGAACCCTACGGTACCCTCCCCGAACCGACCTTCATCTTACGCCTCGGTCCGACTGTATCGTCGATCTCCCTTGATGCGCGACCTCCTTCAACTCAACTGCTGACGCCTGGCACGAAGCACGAAGCACTCCCCGAGCGGAACCGTCCGAAAATGCTGCGGGTGCTGCGGGGGCCGCACTGTGAGCGCCAGTCTCACCAGACTCGGAGCTTTTCCGTGTTGCTCTGCTGGATCTTCGCGCTGGGGTGCATGGCGCTGTATTTGTTCTCGTGTTCCCAAGATGGCAATGTCACGAGGTGGGGGGCTGTTCGAGCAGCAAGGTGTCATTTTCGTTGTCCTCCAGCTGTCCGCCTTCGTACTCCTTACCCAACTCCGCTCACCACTCCGTCGAAGGCTGCTCCTTCCTCTAGCACTCCTGCCTCCAGTCATTCGGTCCCGCTTTGCGTTCGTTCGCGTCTTGTTTCGACCGACGTGTCCGCAGCCCACGGGGGCGGTGGGAGGGGCAGACCTGTGGATGCAAAGGTGGCTCAGTGCATTCTGTTTGGGTCTGGTCGTTCCCTGTGTTGGCCTGGTCTTTCCATGGGTGGTTTCGTCTGCACAGCATGGCAAAGCAGAGAATGGCACCGCCCAGCAGATCATGGAATAGCGGCACTGTGTAGGAGCGAGTGGCACGGCATGGCATAGCGCAGCATGGCAGATCATTGCATGGTATAGCACTGTGTAGCATTGAGTGGTATAGCATTGGATAATATGAAATGGCGTTGCATTGCGAGGCATCACACTGCATGGCATTGCACATCCAGGCATGGGTCGGCACAGTGTGGCTTAGCACATTGCACTACATCGTAGCACTTCACAGCAACAGCAGCATCACAGCGCAAGAAAGAGATGGCATGAACGTTGTGCCTGGACCCAGCGCTCGGGTGCACGAAGAACTCGGCTGCAAGGGTGTTCCAGACACCCCTTCTCCTAAAGTACAAGACTGAAGCGCCAGGCAAGCCTAAACTGGGAGTGAGGCTCCACGAGGACCAGGTGGAGAGACCGTGCGAACGAACGGACAAGCGCCTGAGCCTCGCCGAGGCCAGGTCGTCGAGGCCGTGACCCCTGGGTTGTGACGTCGCGAGAGACAGTCACGGTGCCCTTGGGACGAGCACAGCCGCATTTGCACACACGCACACACACACACACACACACACACACGTCTGAACAAATGGAGGCCGTGTCACCAGAATGTGGGCCATGGGAACAAGTACAGTCGGGGCGTTGACCTAAGGAACCTTAAATAAGGAACGAGGCCCCTTTTTTCCAGAAGTTCAATGTCGATTTCCTGTCGAAAACATAAGGAAAGCCTGAGGCAAGCTGTGGAACACGTAAGGAACGCTGAGCCCCTCCCCAACGAAAAGGGTTCCTTCTTCAGGGCCCCGACTGTAAGAAACGAGTCACCGGTATGAACCCATCTGGACCATTATCAGCACACGAAAGCTATAACAGGGAATAGGGGTTACCCTACGCGAACCAACATGGCTCCAGAGCCTGCAGTCGGACCCCCCTTCGGGGGCTCGCCGACGAGGCAGAAGGCTCGCCCAGAGCCCCGCCGAAGGCACGGATCACCACGGGTCAAAGGGGTGCGAACAACCCACGCTGTACCATCAAATTCCATGTGTCCGCGAAGATGGTGGAGCAAGACAAACCCATACGAGACCATAGCAAACAGAACGGAATGGAAACGCACGGGAGCCGCGGAATCGCCACGTGGAATGTGATACAATAGGGGCCAATGCAAAGTTTTAAGGTTCCGTTGGAACACCAACAAATCGAGGATTATACAGCAACTCTAACCAGTTGGATGACATAGGAGCAGGCAGCTCGAAGGTAAGTTCAGTGAAAGAACGAGCGGGCGACCAACTACTGTCTTCTGTGAAGGGGCCCCAGGACACACAAATAAATACACACAAATAAAAAGATTCCCCATGCTTTCCAATATTTTTTTGGTTTTTGTCTCCCCCCCACTTCCCATATTTTCCCATATTTTCTGGGAAATCGACGATTAATTGTGTCTGTGTGTTTCTTTTCCTCCTGATTCTGGTCGGCGAACGAAGAACATGACACCACGCATGAGGGGCAATCCCGAGCGCGTGACCGCGTTGATGGTCATGCGCGCAGCGTAGTTGTCCACACAACTCAGCACGAGGTTGACCGGACTCACGCCTGACTACCGGGGGACAACACGCAGGAGGTCATAGATCAGGAGTCTCAGATTTGGACGCCCGAAATGGGTACCGAAAAAATGGGTACAATGCCCAACAGCAAATGTTGTCCCAAACCAACAGCAACCGCTGTTGGGCGGGCAGCCTTCTGTCTCGAATGGACACAAGCCGCGGCGGCGTGGACAGCAAGCCCTGTTCAAAATGAACAAGATCCGCTGTTGGGCATTGTACCCATTCTTTCCGTACCCATTTCGGGCGTCCAGATCAGAAGCATGGTAGACAGCGCACAGTCCTGTTTGCCGCCACCCCTCCCTCTCTCGCTTCGCTCCTTGCGACATCTGCCTGCAGTGCTATTGGCCTCCTGCCCGATGCGTACAGGATGGCCCTGAACCTTATACGAAAACACCTCGTGGTCACAACAGATACAGCACCTCAAGTGTGTCCAATAATCATGGATGCATAAGGCGGCACGCGCGAGTACCATTCGATACAGCAAACAATGAAACCGCCAGAGGCGGAGAAGCAAAAACAACCGAATCAACATACGCTTTCGGAAGTCCTTACGAAGCTCCGAAAATTTGTGTATGCCAATTTTTTCGAGGTGCAGCAACCAGTGTAACAAACAGGGAGGGGACTGAAAAGGCGCGCGTGCCGAGTTGACATCACGCAGACTACTCACCTTTCGGTCCGAGGTAGTACACGAGCCCTCTGACGGCCACCACAGGCTGTGGTAACCATCCTCCCGATCAGAAATCATATGCAGCGTTTTCTTGTCCAACGAAAAAGAAAGCATATGCGGCGACCGTACGAGTGACGATTTCTGCAGGCTGTTCAGGGGCTGCCCATCGTACTGAAATGCGTCTACTTATTGTTGCGACCGCTATTTGTTCTGAACGGGCGATGGCACTTCTGAACCTGAGGTTCAGGCCTGAAAGGCACCTCTGGGGCGGGTGGTAATGGGGGGTGCTCTAAATGGAGAGTGAAGAAGACAAGGGCAGGAACCCGTTAGGTTGGAACCAGCAGGGGCCCAAAAGGGGCCCAAAAAGAGCCAGCAGAGGCCCAAAAGGGAGCTCCAATCAAGGTTCAAATGCCAGGGTCCGCAGTATCTGGAGACCCGACGCTCCGAAACGAGCGGTTTTCGGCCGTGTTCGGCACCTGGGAGCCCTCGCCGAGCCTCGGGAGCGTCAAAAAACAACTCGGGATGAAAAACCTGCCATCGGGAGGTGGTCCAAACCTCTGGGGCCCACGCATCGGGAAAAATGAAGCGTCCGAATGTCTGGGTGCGCACACGCCCCCAATTCGGCGCACCCTCACACGTTCTGTGGCCCTAATGGCTGCTGGAGGCTCAACCTTGGCACGGGCACGTTCGCGTCGCGACGACGCGAGCGCTGGTGGCTGACACTTCGCGGATCGTTGAATCTTCAACCATCACCGATGTCTTAGAAGACGCTGGTGCACAGTCAACCCGTATCACAAGGATACGCGATGAGGGTGCAAGGGCCCTGGAAGGCCACGTCGACACTCTGCGAGTGGGCCGCGGCCAGCAAAAAGTCACCAAGGATGGGCCGACGGGGCAAGGATGCAAGGGTTTGGAGGCCTGGAAAAGGGTACCAACACCAACACAGGGGGTTGCCTCCACAGGGGGAAGATGATCCTAGATTTCGGTGTTGGTGGTAATATGTCGGCCACCTAGAACCGAATTTTACCACCACCATCACCGAGATTGGGAGCATCTTCCCTCGGTAGAGGCACACCGCCGATATTGGTGTTGGTGTCAAGCTCTAGGCCTCCGAAGGGTACCCTTGGGAGTGTTGCCCATGCCTGGGTAGTCGAAGCCAATCTGGCGCCAATCTGGCAGGCCCAATCTGGCAAACGGGGGCAATCTGGCGAGGGAGCCAGCGCGAATCCAGTCTGGCGAATAACCCAAATCGTCCAGTCTGGCCGGGCCAGATTGGCCCTTGGGGCCCAGTCCAATCTGACAGTCTGGCCTTCGACTACCCAGGCAATAACCGCGAAGGTTTTTGCGACCTCGAGGGGCCGCCCTCTCGGCGTGCGAACATCAGCGCAGCGCCGAGGGGGGAAAGGTCACCCCGCAGGGCGCCGGGAGGGAGTCGTCGAGCGCGCCACGGAAGCATGCAGCAGCAACCAGGCACGCAAGCTGTCTTGCGCGGTCTCGACTCGAAGGAAGGCGGCGGAGGCGGAGAACGAGGACGAGGACGAGGACCAGCGCAAAATCCACCCATCGACGATGTTGGAATAAACACTCCCTCCAAGCTCCCTCTTCATAGGCCCCTTCGAGGGTGTGTTTCCACCCCAACGCCAAGAATCAACGTGACTGTTGCGTCTTGTCGATCCAGAATCTTGCCACATCACCGTTCCTCGGACTGCAACACCGCCAATCAACGTAACTGTTGCGCCCTCACATTCCAGAGTCCTTCCGAAACACTACTTCTGGCACGGTCGTTGACCATGGGAACCCGTGAAACTCTCGCAAATGTTAAGACGAGTGTGCGCGGCGCTAAGGACGAGGACGAGGCCCAGCTTGGGAGCGTTGCCCATGCTTCTCATGCGGGCTGACTGCGGCTCTGGTCCTCTGGTCGCTCCCTCGACGTCCGGGGCCTGCTCGTGGCCGAGGCCCGCCGAGGCCGGGAGAGCCCCATGCGGTCCTTCTTCGGCGCTCCGTCTGGTGGCACGATGACTGCGTACTCCAGATTTCGTAATAAAAGGGAGAGGGTCTGGACCCTCCAAGACAAGCCATTTCAGAGCCCCCCTCGTGGGAGAACCCTCCAAAACATCGTCCCCAGACCCCCCCCAGGCCCTCCAAGATAGCCTGGAAGAGACCCCCCCCCGAAATGAGACCCCCCTCCCTTTATTACGAAATCTGGAGTAGATTGGGTGTCCGCCCGCCCCCTAAGGCGGACGGAAGAGGGCAAGCCACTCGATCATTGAAGTAGAATTGCGCTTGAAGAGGATTAGAACCTGGGATTCCAAAATCGGGGATGGACAGAACCCCCTTAGTAAAACGTGGTTTAGTGAAGACGACCTCGGGCCTGAACCTGGCGGAAGCAAGCATGGAAAATGACGGCTGCGGCGCCCTCGAGAACCGACAACGGTCAACTCACTAATCGACGTGTCAGGGTGGGGATTCTGTCCACCCCCAGCAAAAAGGAATGCGCTTGAAGCAGACTGGAAGCTGGAATTCCAAACATACTTACCCGATGGGTACCCTTGGGAGTGTTGCCCATCCTTCTGATGCGGGCTGACTGCAAGGACCACTTTTTGAGTTCGGAGGCGGAGGAGGAGGCGGAGGAGGAGGCGGAGGAGGAGGCTGAGGAGGGGGCGACGGGGGAGGCGGAGGCGGAGTAGGGCGGAGGTGAGGAGTAGGAGGCGGAGGAGAGGAGGGGGAGGAGGAGGCGGAGGGGGGCGGAGGAGGCAGAGGAGGAGGAGGAGGCGGAGGAGGAGATGCAGGATGAGGAGGGGGCGACGGGGGGGCGGAGGCGGAGCAGGAGGCGGAGGAGGAGTAGAAGGCGGAGGAGGAGGAGGGGGAGGAGGAGGCGGAGGGGGAGGAGGGAGGAGGAGGAGGAGGAGGAGGAGGAGGAGGAGGAGGAGGAGGAGGAGGAGGAGGAGGAGGAGGGAGGAGGAGGGAGGAGGAGGAGGGAGGAGGAGGAGGAGGAGGAGGAGGAGGAGGAGGGCTCTGGCTTCCGGGCCGCTCCTCCGCTCTGCGCCCGGGGGGGCCTGCTCGCGGCCGGGGGGCCCGCCGTGGCCGGGAGCGCCCCCCCGCGGCCCTTCCGACCACCTCTGCCAGAGCACCCCGGCCCGACCCGGAGACCCGACGTTCGGGTGGGGGGGGGGGCGGGATTCCAGATGCGTTTTCCCAGCGTTCCCCACCACTGGAGGTGGAGGGCACAGTGAGGCCTTCTGACCACTTGCCAGACCACCCCAGCCCAACCCGAAGACCCGGATTTCGGGTTCAGAGGCCTCTCAGATGGGGTCCGAGTAGATGGGGTCCAAAAATCGCGCCGCATCGTCGATACATCGGCGATGCATCGCCGATGCATCAACGATGCACCGGCGACGTCGCCGATGCATCTGCGTCGGCGACGCCGGCATGGAGAGAATCGGGCTCCACATCGAGCCGCATCGCCGATGCATCGGCCATGTGGCGCGATCCTCCGATCCCATCTACTCGAACCCCATCTAGGAGGCCTAGAGGGTTGGGGGGTAGGGGTTCCATATGCGTTTTTTAAATGTTCCCCGACCCCCCCCCCACACTGAAAATGGAGGGCAATGTGAGGCCTTCGGGTTGGTTTGGGGTGGTTTGGTGGGTGGTGATCTTCGGCGCTCATTATGGTACCACGATGGCTGCATATCGGAGACCCCGTCATGACTTGCCAAATTAAGAGACAATCCGTGAGGTTCGGCCGTGAACGCGCCTCGGTCCGTGTCGCCGCCACGCCGACGCGGCTTGGATCTGCCGCACTCGAGAAGAAGCAAGGCGGCCCGAGGCCAACTCGAGGTGCATCTAAAGAGGCACCGGGACGGCCCGTCGGCATCGACGTCGGCGGCGATGCAGAAAGCAACTCCTGCGAGGTTTGCGTAAGAACGAAGAGGGGCTGTTAAACCCATCGAGCCGGACTCGGTGTGACGCCAGGTTGAACAGGATTGAGTGGGAGTAAACGTAACGAACCGGGAGAGAACCACACTTCGCAAATTGTCGACCACGGATATACCAGCGCCGATGCTGAAGGTAACCTCCAAGCATCAGCATGCTAAGCGATGCTCCGAGATGCCCCGATGATGCCCAGCAGGATGTCTCTGAGATTTTGCTTGCAGGGTGTCTCTGAGAGGATGTCTCTGAGATGTCCCCTGGCACTCTTGTGAGAAACGGTACACGAAAACCTACGAACGGATGGCCCCCGAACCACAAAACCATCAATAAGAGGTCAACGGTAGCGTCGTCGTCGTAACCGTCATCGTCTCCTTTGTCCTCTTCCATCCTCCTCGTCCTCCTCCTCCTTGTCGTCCTCTTCCCTTTCCTGCTCCTCATCCTCCTCCTACTCCTAGTCCTGCTCCTCGTCCTCATCATCATCATCATCAAAATCATCATCATCATCATCATCATCATCATCATCATCATCATCATCATCATCAGCAGCAGCATCATCATCAACACCATCACAATAACAATCACCATCACCATCATCGTCATCGTTATCAGCAGCATCAATTATCACCAACATCATCATCATCATCATCATCATCATCATCATCATCATCATCAGCATCATCAGTATCATCATCATTATCATGATCATCAGCAGCAGCAGCATCATCAGCATCATCAGTATCATCATCAGCATCGTCATCATCAGCAGCAGCAGCGTCATCTGCATCATCAGCATCATCACCATCATCATCATCAGAATCATCATCGTGTCATCATCATCATCAGCATCATCGTCACCACCGTCATCATCATTATCAGCATCAACCACATCATCATCTGCATCATCATCATCACCATCATCATCATCATCACCATCATCATCATCATCATCATCATCATCATCATCATCATCATAATAATCTTCCCTCCTCTTCCTCCTGGTAACCGTCGTTATCCTCCTCCGTTCTTTCCCCGCCGTTCCTCCCTCCCATCGCCCCTCCCTCATCCTGCACCTCCCTCTCCTCCCCATCCACCTCCACCACCTCCACCTCTTCCTCCACCGCCTCATCCTCCTCCTCCTCTTCTTCCTCCTCCCTATCCAGCTCCTCCGCCGCATCCTCCCCCTCCCTCCTCACCAGACCATCACCATTCGCGTCTTGCTTAGACGCAACAAACAGCGCATGTTCAATGTAGACAGCGCGCTGCATCTGGCATCGCCTAGCGATGATTTACTTATATCCGAACGTGTTGTGTCCCTCTCTCGCATGTCCGAACGTAATGTGTCGTGTAAGTACAACTTATACGTATACATGTATGTTTAAACCGCGATGTACCCACGTATCGATTCTTTAATATAAATATATACACACAGACACACCTATGTATATATATAGAGAGAGATATACACTTATACGTGTGCGTATCCCCCTGCTCGTTCTCCATGGCACCATGCAAACAAGTTGCTGCCCGCGGGGGGCCATCGAGACCGCCGTGCTGGATCCTGTCCATCAGATGGTCGTAGTTCTCGCTAGTGGTGATATTTCTGTTGTATGCCTCGCGAGAACAGCCCGGGCCCCACCGTGCAGAGGCAAACGCAAGAATGGGCGGCAACGACTATCAGGGCGTTCCCGAACGCTCTGAGAGGGTTCCAGAACGCTCTGGAATAGATTTACCCTCGTCCTCGCCCCATCCGATAACCGCGAATCCCCGGGCTCTGAAAAATCGGCTCCAAACTCATCCCCCGGACCCCTCCCGGGGGGTCCACCCTGGCCGGCCTCCCGCCCCGGAGCGACCTCTGCCGGCCCCGGCGTGGCCCCTCGAGGCCGCAAGAACCGCGAAGGCTTCTGCGACCTCGAGGGGCCGCCCTCTCGGCGTGCGAACATCAGCCTGGGTAGTCGAAGCCAATCTGGCGCCAATCTGGCAGGCCCAATCTGGCAAACGGGGGCAATCCGGCGAGGGAGCCAACGCGAATCCAGTCTGGCGAATAACCCAAATCATCCAATTTGGCCGGGCCAAATTGGCCCTTGGGGCCCAATCCAATCTGACAGTCTGGCCTTCGACAACCCAGGCAATAACCGCGAAGGTTTTTGCGACCTCGAGGGGCCGCCCTCTCGGCGTGCGAACATCAGCGCAGCGCCGAGGGGGGAAAAGTCACCCCGCAGGGCGCCGGGAGGGAGTCGTCGAGCGCGCCACGGAAGCATGCAGCAGCCACCAGGCACGCAAGCTGTCTTGCGCGGTCTCGACTCGAAGGAAGGCGGCGGAGGCGGAGAACGAGGACGAGGACGAGGACCAGCGCAAAATCCACGCATCGACGATGTTGGAATAAACACTCCCTCCAAGCTCCCTCTTCATAGGCCCCTTCGAGGGTGTGTTTCCACCCCAACGCCAAGAATCAACGTGACTGTTGCGTCTTGTCGATCCAGAATCTTGCCACATCACCGTTCCTCGGACTGCAACACCGCCAATCAACGTAACTGTTGCGCCCTCACATTCCAGAGTCCTTCCGAAACACTACTTCTGGCACGTTCGTTGACCATGGAAACCCGTGAAACTCTCGCAAATGTTAAAACGAATGTGCGCGGCGCTAAGGCGAGAGCCACATTTTGAAAACGACCCGATCTCAATCCGTGAAACTCTTGCAGTTGTTTGAAACGAATGTGCGGGGCGCTGAGGCGAGAGCCACATTTTGAAAACCACCCGCCCCTTCCATCTGCAAAACTGTTGCCACTTGTTATGCATCTGGGTCACGAATGGCGATGAAGTATCAAGCGAAACGCCCGGCGCGACAGGGAGGAGTTGCTCATACAGTCGGATTTGACTGGAAAGGACACGCGAGAGGACACAAGACCCTTCCGAGGTCACATTGCCACAGGAATGTGGGAAGCATGAGTCGCGAGACACAGGACACAAGGGTACCCTTGACTTGGCAGGGTCGACCTACTAATCAGGGCCGATTGCAGGGAAAAGTAATGGAGGAGAAGGAGGAGGGGGAGCGGGCACGTGGGCCCCGAAGAGTGCCTCAAACTCCACGTCCGGGTTGATGCCCCGCAGCGTCTGCGTCGACGCCTGGCGCGGGCTCTCACGGCGCAGGATCAGCCGGCACCCACGCGGGAAATCGGCAAGAATCGAAGTGCGCGTCGGGTCGGGCCGCATCGGCACGGAGCCGAGATCGGATCAGATCGGGTGCCCCAGGATCCACCATGGCGCCACGCGGGCATCGGGCCGCATCGGATCTCTGAACTGGGTAGTCGAAGCCAATCTGGCGCCAATCTGGCAGGCCCAATCTGGCAAACGGGGGCAATCTGGCGAGGGAGTCAACGCGAATCCAGTCTGGCGAATAACCCAAATAATCCGATTTGGCCGGGCCAGATTGGCCCTTGGGGCCCAATCCAATCTGACAGTCTGGCCTTCGACAACCCAGCCATGGCGCCACGCGGGCATCGGGCCGCATCGGATCTCTGAACTTATCGGAACCGCATCGGCACGGGCCGGCCAGAACCCATGTCGGATCGGATCGATCGGATCGAAATGGGCCCTGAAGGGTCACTCGGCTTTCAGGCCATCACGCTGGCGGCCGCTCAGGACGATCCAGGCACCCCGCGAACGCTCTCGACGAGGCGCAGCTGCCAGAGCATATCCCGAGGCAGTAACCGACGAGAACGTCAGAAACTCGGACGGCCGAAGTCAATGTCGAATCGGATCGATAGGATCTAAATGAACCCTGCACAGCCCCCTCGCCGCCGTGCGCTTCCGCACCTCGTCGCCGCCGTCGCGCCCGCCAGGGCGAGCGCGCATGCCAGTCAAGAGACCCGGGTTCAATCCAGCCGAGGGTTAAAGACAGACGACAGCCGATGGGGATCGAGAGGACAGAGGGTCAGGAAGGACCAAGGAGCGGTTCGTTAACGAGCGTTCTCCTTTACGTGGCGCCGTCGGCAAGGCGTACTACTACTACTACTACTACTACTACTACTACTACTACTACTACTACTACTACTACTACTACTACTAC